GGTAAAAAAAAACAGTAAATATCTTACCTGCTGTAGATGACCTTTGACCTCAGGTTGTAAAAAAACAGTAAATATCTTACCTGCTGTAGATGACCTTTGACCTCAGGTTGTAAAAAAACAGTAAATATCTTACCTGCTGTAGATGACCTTTGACCTCAGGTTGTAAAAAACAGTGAATATCTTACCTGCTGTAGATGACCTTTGACCTCAGGTTGTAAAAAACAGTGAATATCTTACCTGCTGTAGATGACCTTTGACCTCAGGTGGTAAAAAACAGTAAATATCTTACCTGCTGTAGATGACCTTTGACCACAGGTTGTAAAAAACAGTGAATATCTTACCTGCTGTAGATGACCTTTGACCTCAGGTGGTAAAAAAACAGTGAATATCTTACCTGCTGTAGATGACCTCAGGTTGATCAGTTTTCTCGTTAACAGGAAGTCATACTGGAAACATGACGTTTATCTGCAGAGCCGAGGTTTCGGAGGTGCAGCTGAGGAAGGAGAACCAGATCCGAATCACCGGTTCGGAGACACAAAATCCAGAACATCCAACATAAAATGTTCTTCGTGTATTTTTAACAAAATAAAAGCCCCAGGATTTCAGAATAAATGACTGACTTTTTTTTTTAAGACGACTTCAGGCCCACAGGTCCAGAAGGTTCTGATTGGGCCCTCATCAGTCTGACGGTCTTCCTGGTCCTCCTGGTCCTCCTTGGAGTTTTGATCTGTTGTAAACACCGGAGGTGGATCCTGGACCAGCTGTCAGGTTCACACACAGGTGAGTTCTTCCTCTCAGCTCAGCGGGACCACTCGGTTCTGATCTGACCCGGGTTCTTCAGATGTTGCAGAATTCCAGGGAAGAAGTTCACCTCAGAAAGGTGGTCCACCTGAACGTGAGTGGACCTAAACCCCCTAACCCCTCAGAGGGTCTTTATTACAAACTGACTCCTGCTGACATGTTTTCTTTTTAAAGACCCTCGGCTTCCAGATCGAAGGTCCACTGAGACAACAGGTCAGACATATTTACTGAAAAACATCTGCTTCAACTACTGTACTACTAACTGTAGCTACTGTGCTGCTAACTGTAGCTACTGTGCTGCTAACTTCAGCTACTGTACTGCTAACTGTAGCTACTGTGCTGCTAACTTCAGCTACTGTGCTGCTAATTTCAGCTACAGAATACAGAAACCTGGACCAGCTGAGGACAACTGGACCCTCTGAACTCACGATCCGGGCCAACAAACTGGACCAGCTGAAGCCTCCCTGTGAGTGAGCAGTTTTAGGTTTTAGCTGSAGGTTTGGGTCTTGCTGACCCGGGTTCTCCTGTGATCCCCTCAGTGTCGGGCGTTAAAGCGTCCCACCACCTGGCAGAGGAGGACCTGCAGAGGATGTCCACCTACAGGGACGACATCGTGGACGTGGGACGACAGTAAGTCTCTGGACTCCACAGGTCTGATCAGGATCCAGGGTCTCAGCTCAGACCCGTTTGGACTCTGTCCCCTGCAGGCTCCACTTCCACCCTGCCCTGATCGCTGCCATCATCTCCAAACAGTCCCGGGCCGGAGCCGCCCTGAGGGACACCGGGTTCGGGTTCGACGGGTCCAGCTTCGGGCTCATGCAGGTCTGTGGGGTCTGGTGTGTGTGTGTGTGTTTGGGGGTCTCCAGCTGACCCGGTCCTTCTGGGTGCAGATCAACAAGGCCTACCACGCAGCCAAGGGCCAGCCTTWCAGCAGGGAGCACATCGACGAGGGGACCACCTACCTGATCCACCTCATCAAGTCCACCAGGATCCGCCAGAACACCTGGACCCCCGAGCAGCACCTGAAAGGTACGCACCGCCTCCTTTAGTCCTGCTTCAAGTCCAGGTCCAGAGACGGGTCCTGCCTCCTGTAAGTCAGCCTTCTGTTCCAGGAGCTCTGGTCGGGTACATGATCGGGATAGAAAACCTTCGAGGTGGTCCTGAAGACTTGGACCTGCTGACACCAACCCAGGACTTCGCCAGTGACGTCATCGCCAGAGCCCAGTTCTTCTCCAGGAACGGGTTCMGGGTCTGAAAGGTTCGGAAGAGAACTGCATTCACCAAATAAAAACATTAGACTCCTGGTCTCAGAATTATGAGACAAGATGTTATAATTATGAGATAATGAGATATAATTATAACATCTTATCTCATAATTATAAGATCAGGAGTCGATATTTTTATGAGCTGAAAGCAGTTCTCTTCTGTAGACAGGATCTGGTTGTTGGTCCTCAGGACTGCACCGTCTGTTTTATGTTTTATCTGTTTTATCTGTTTTATGTTTTATCTGTTTTATCTGTTTTATTTTGAAATGTGAAAGGTTTTATTTGAGCAGAGAAACACGACATCATTCAGCTAAAAACAGCTAAAAAAAACAAACATCGTGAATTATTTTAAAATGTCTGAACAAACTTCTGATCGGAACCAAAGAGTGTTTGTTTGTTTTTCTGTTTGTTTGTTTTTCTGTTTGTTTGTTTTTCTTTTTGTTTGTTTTTCTGTTTGTTTGTTTTTCTGTTTGTTTGTTTGTCACATTAAACCATCAAACAATAAGGACAGAGGAAAGTTACAGATATTATTTACTAACATTTATCATTTCTTCTGTTCAGAATGTGAAACATTTTATTTATTGACATCATGTTTACTCCTGTTGTGTTTTGTTGCACTTGTTTGTTTGTTTGTTTGTTTGTTTGAACTGGAAAAAAAAATCATTGGACTTAAATCCTATAAATGTGTAAAGAACAAATAATATGAAGTCTAAATGTATGAAAAGTAAATAATGTTTGGAGTAAATCTTTGAGGTTCTGCACGTTACATTTATTTTTTAACAGGTTCTTCAGATTTCTTTAGATAAATGTTATAAATGAAAATCTGTTTAAAGATATAAAGTTTCATACCTGTGGGTATTTATTCACAGAATTTGAAATAAAACTATTTTTACCCTCTGCAGCGTCTCCACTGATGTCAGTCAGATATAAAACATTTCATTATAAACCTTTCAAATTAAAGTTAAAAAACAGCTGCGTTGGCCGGGAATCGAACCCGGGTCAACTGCTTGGAAGGCAGCTATGCTAACCACTATACCACCAACGCTCACAGAGGGTCCCTCCACAGACATGTTGACGCCCTGCACAAAGTCTGACAGGCAGCACTGCAGATAATCTGTAGCTGTAATCTGTGAGCTGCTGGATTAAAGTCTTTCAGACAGGAGTGTGTCTTTTTGGTTGTTAAAGACCAACACTGATGTTTTATGACCTCAGCTGCAGCTAACAGCTAAAAGGAGGCTTCTGGTTGCAGCTGCTGACGTCACACTGCTACCTGCACTTCTCCTTTCAGCCACCAGATGGAGACACTTCMTGTCTTTAAACAAGCAGTGATGGAGTCTCCTCCTCCAGGCATCAGTCTGTCAGAGCTTTGTGGAGTTCAACAGTTCTGACTCCAAACCTCCTGGTTCAACATGTCCACTGTCCATCAGGTCCAAGAGAAAACAGGTCCCACTGGGTTCTGGGTGTGGTTCAGGACCTGGCCCACATGAGTCGCTCCTGACAGGACCAGGAGTCATGTCAGTCAGCTGACTGGTGAGGAGGASCTCCTGTCCATTCAGCTGCAGGTCTGATCACTGCTCCTGCTGACCTCCTCTCACCTCCTTCATGTTCCTCAGGWGTTCCTGGTGAAGGAATCCATTTAATGGTTTTTAAACATTTCACAGGCTTCAGCTCTTCAGCTGTGACTTTTACTATTTCAGCTAGTTTCACTTTTCAGCCACATTTTTTCATGTGGAAAATGATGAGAGCTGTTTTTAACACCCTAAAATCCTTCAAAAAGTTTATAAATCTTTACAGACTCTTACATCTTTATTCTGTTTATTTTATTTTAACCTACTTCTGATCATTTTAGCTGTTTTACTGCTATTTCAGCTGTAATTCTGCTTCTTTCTGCTATTCTGCAGCTGTTTTAATTTTTTGTTTTCTTTCTGCTTTCAGCTATTTCTGCTTCTTACAGTTCTGCTGTGTTTTAGCTAATATTCAGCTGTTATCAGCTAAAGTTGGCTTTCTAGGCTAACGTCACATTGCTGTTGCTTTTTCGGCTTCTTTCTGCTGAGTTCAGCTAACTTATGTTTCTGATGGGGGGGGTTCTTTCAGCTGTTCAGACTGAACTGGTATCAACTCTTCAGCTGTTTAACACCTGCAGCTTAACTTCAGCTGCTTTCAGCTGAAAGCTATWCAACAAGAAGCATTCATGCTAAAAAATACAATTTGCTAAGTTACAGTTAATCCCAGAACAGATTAATAATCCTGTCACCTCAGAGAGGGTTAATCTGACTCTGTGGGTCAGGTCTCTGTGGGTCAGGACTCTGTGGGTCAGGTCTCTGTGGGTCAGGTCTCTGTGGGTCAGGTCTCTGTGAGTCAGGACTCTGTGGGTCAGGACTCTGTGGGTCAGGACTCTGTGGGTCAGGTCTCTGTGGGTCAGGACTCTGTGGGTCAGGACTCTGTGGGTCAGGACTCTGTGGGTCAGGTCTCTGTGGGTCAGGTCTCTGTGGGTCAGGACTCTGTGGGTCAGGACTCTGTGGGTCAGGACTCTGTGGGTCAGGACCCTGTGGGTCAGGACTCTGTGAGTCAGGTCTCTGTGGGTCAGGTCTCTGTGGGTCAGGACTCTGTGGGTCAGGACTCTGTGGGTCAGGACTCTGTGAGTCAGGACTCTGTGAGTCAGGACTCTGTGGGTCAGGACTCTGTGAGTCAGGACTCTGTAGGTCATGACTCTGTGGGTCAGGACTCTGTGAGTCAGGTCTCTGTGGGTCAGGTCTCTGTGGGTCAGGTCTCTGTGGGTCAGACATCTGTGGATCAGGTCTCTGTGGGTCAGGTCTCTGTGGGTCAGGTCTCTGTGGGTCAGACATCTGTGGATCAGGTCTCTGTGGATCAGGACTCTGTGGGTCAGGACTCTGTGGATCAGGTCTCTGTGAGTCAGGACTCTGTGGAACAGGACTCTGTGAGTCAGGACTCTGTGGATCAGGTCTCTGTGAGTCAGGACTCTGTGGAACAGGACTCTGTGAGTCAGGACTCTGTGGATCAGGTCTC